AAATATCAACGAAGTGTCTGGGAAGGATGTGGCTAATGAATGCACAGTGTGTTGATGGTTTGAGAAGATCTGTTTCGGTGATTTTAATCTTGAAAATGAGCCATGTGGGTGACCTGAGACCAAGGTGGATAATGATGAACTGAAAGCTGTAGTGGAAACGAATCCATCTCAACCTGCTTGTGAATTAGCAGCAAGATTTGAAGTCACTGTTCCAACAATATTGGACCATTTGAAACAGATGGGCAAGGTAAAGAACACTTGACTACATGTTGGACAAACAATGCTGCTAAAACTATAGAGGCTGGACTTGGAAACTCTCTAGCATCTACTGTGTTGACCAGACCTTGCACCAACTGACTACCACTTCTTCCAGGCTTTTGACCATTTCTTACACGGAAAAATATTTAATTCTCAACAAGCTGTGAAAAATGCCTTTTGAGATTTCATTGCCACTTGCTCTCCAGGCTTCTTCACTGCTGGCATAAACCAACTACTGTTAAGATGGCAAAACTGTGTTGATATTTTAGGCACATACTTTCATTAATTGTACTACATCTTGTTTGAGATATAATAAACCACACTTTTGATTTGGAACTCGGACATTTCATTTTTGATGACCTAATAGCTCTGGTTCTGACTCTCTTGAGCAGAGGAAAATTTCTTTTCCCACATAAATAGGAAAGTTACAAAAACCTAGAGGCCAATTCAAATATGATCATAAATATACATATATGAGTGTCTGCTCAGATGACATAAGGCCATGAAGCAGTGAATTTATTTCTGAGATCATGCCAAGAGACCCATCTCTCTGCAATCATTTTGTTTGCTGGAGAATAGACCGGGGTCCTTGCCCACTCTCCTTGCACCTGCTCTTTGTCCTTTAATGAAGATGAGACTGTGTACCAGTGGGCTTCTAATGAAGTTTGAAAGAGAATTCTCAGGGTAAACTAAATCTTAACAGAGGTAACTAGAGTAAGATGATTTTGTAGAAATGTAAGACTGAGGTCAGACTGAGAACTACTTCGCTAGTTGGCCAAATTTTGATAATGACTCATGTCCTTAAAACATGATTCACTTATTATTCTGAAAAAATACAGCATGATTACTAGCATCGTCAATTCTTTCAGCACATATTTGTTAAATATCTATTACAATTAAAGTACTGCATCATCCACCTTTTGTCACAACCTGTAAGGTATGGAAACTGCATATGTAAGTTTCTCTTCAGAACCTACTTTTAGAATTTTCTGAATGCAAATAGAACATTCTAATTTTTATTTTATTTCATCTATGATAGTTTCTCTTCTTGACTTCTTTTATTCTCTATAGTGTATTCAAAATAAGAATTTTTACATCATACTTGCTCTAGTAATTCAACTTCTGGGGACCGTGGTTTCTTCGTTTTTTTTTAAAAGCTAGGGGTCTCACCCTGCTGCCTGGGCTAGAAGAGTGCAGCAACACAATCATAACTCACGGTAACCTCGAACTCCCGGCCTGAAGTGTTCCTTCCACTTTACCCTCCCCAGTAGCTGGGACTACAGTCATGCACCACCATAGCTGGCTAATTTTTTAATTTTTTATTATTTGTAGAGATGGGGGGTCTCACTATGTTGCCCAGATTGGTCTCAAACTCCTGGCCTCAAGTGATTCTCCCACCTTGGCTTCCCAAAGTTCTAGGATTACAGGTGTAAGCCACCATGCCCAGCCCCATCTTCCTAATTTTACTTTCCCTACTCAAATGATGCTGGCTGTTCAAAGTCTTCCCAATCATATCTCCCTAATTTCACTTCCATTATCCCTGAAGAGATACTCGGTATTTATGTCAAATTCGTTAACCTTGCCCTCCAGATCCAATTTATCCGTTAGGTCCACCCCAAAGACTGCTTGTGTTTCCTCTAACTGGGTTACCCCTTTTTACCCCCTTCTCTCATCTCATATAGCAGCAGTCCCCAACCTTTTTGGCACCAGGGACCGGTTTCATGGAAGAAAATTTTTCCACGGAACTGGGTATTGATGGTATCTTTTGGTATTGATGGTGCAATTTCCAATACTTTGTTGGAAGAGCTTTTATTAGGTTTGCAGTTAGAATTCATTGCTCACAAACTGATTTCTTATAGGCTCTAGGTTGACTTCTTTGCATGCTTTAAGATGTGACAACTTCATCTTTGTAAGGGATATGTTAATTCACACTGTGATTGATATGTAATTTGAGTTATAGTTTTAGGCTCAACTTTTTTTTTTTTTTGAGACAGAGTCTCACTCTGTTGCCCTGGCTAGAGTGAGTGCCGTGGCGTCAGCGTAGCTCACAGCAACCTCATACTCCTGGGCTCAAGTGATCCTACTGCCCCAGCCTCCCGAGTAGCTGGGACTACAGGCATGCGCCACCATGCCCGGCTAATTTTTTCTATATATTTTTAGTTGGCCGATTAATTTCTTTCTATTTTTGGTAGAGATGGGGTCTCGCTCTTGCTCAGGCTGGTCTCGAACTCCTGAGCTCAAACAATCCGCCTGTCTCGGCCTCCCAGAGAGCTAGGATTACAGGCGTGAGCCACCGCGCCCGGCCTAGGCTCAACTTTTGATTAGTGTTGATTTACAAAAACAGTTTACAAGTTGGAGTATGTGAGGAAAATAATTGTTATTAAGTAATATAACATCATAATTACAATTAATACTCTCTATTGCATGCCCTCATACCAATAAGTGCCAAGTAGCTTGTTAAGAACTGCTTTGAAATGCTTTCATTAGTGCTTCTTATCTTGCCAAACGTGTTTTGCCTAATGATTGATGAAAAGAATAACATTTTATTTGAGGATCTCAAAGCACCTGGCAAGGCTGCTTTCCATTTTGCAGATTGGTTACACTGTAGTTTGCAGTGGTTCAATGCATTCCCTTTAGCTGTGCTGCCATCCAGGAAGAGGGCTGGCCACACAGTAGAATATTTTATATTCCAAAATATTGTGGGCTTTCCCTAAGTAATTGGCATGCTATTTTATCTTATGTCTATTGTGACTGTGTACCCAGGCAGATTTTCCCTTGGCCTTGCCCAGTGAAAAGATTGGAGGCAAATCTGTGTCCATTTTGAGGTCTGGTATTGGACTTTAGCTAGCAGTTTCTTACTGGCTTTTTTTGATTCCATTTTATTTATTTATTGTTTTATTTTTTCCTACCCATTTTCAGTTGAGTCATCTCATTTCAATAAGTATCCTTTTAAGCACCTTAAGTCTCTTTTTAAACTAGACAGGCAATGGGTATGTAACTGATTTTTACACTGTTCACACATTTCTGTTAGACTGAGGCAGGTTGTACAGTTGAAACACCAGGCCTTTGATGGGAGCCATTCTTGGGTTTGAATTCCAGTTTTGACACTTAATTACTGTGGACCTTGGACGAATTATTTAACCTTTCTAAATTCTCTCTCTGTAAAATGGAAATTATAATACATAACTCACAGAGATGTCTTGGGGATTAAATAAAATAACTCATGTAAATTACTTGGTGCATAGTAGGCATTCAATAAATGTCAGTTCGTGTCTTCCCCCAGTTAATAATGCTTATTAGACTATATTAAAAACCAGAACCAGACTGTGATAATGCATTTCTTTATTAGGTATTTAAGCCAAATAACTAATTTCCCCCAGAGGAAAGAGAGAGAAATGTTGAATTAGTTTCTTTTGGCGAACTTATTTATTAATCTTTTTTCTTCAGCATTATTCAGTTTCATAGTTCATAATTTAGTTTTCATGCAACAAAAATGACAGTTTAGTATTCTTTTTTAACTGTACTGTGCTAGAATTGGTTCCCTAAAAAAATTTAGCCATTATTACAGCTGCCATTTATTAGAGAACGTTATTAATTACATTAACAGCTCGATTGTGTTTCATAACTACTTCGTGCTGAAAAACTTTTGCTCTCAGCAGTTTCCCTGAGGTCTAACCATTTAAAAGAATCAAGTTTTAAATAGCAATGCTACAAACAGCAAAAGAAAACCAGCGGTGGGAGGGAGGACCTACACTGTCTGTGTTCTTTCATGTTAATTTTATACGTTTGCATTTAAGTGGAGCCACGTTTTTCTCAAGGACGCAACCTAAGTGAGGCAGGCAGGAAAAGTGGGAACTGACTAATTGAGCTGGAACTAGGGTACCATTGCACCTTTAAGGACTGGAGACTTGGCATTAGCTCGGCCTCCTTCCCGGCCCACCTCTGAACTCTGATTGACAGGGCGCTGGGCGAGGAGGAGCTGAAGGAGGCTGGAGAGGAGGCGCAGTGAGGAAAGTAGGGGGAGGAGGGGCCCGTCTTTTCTCTGATGGCCAATCAGGGAAGGGGGCGGGGCCTCGGGCGCCGTCCTCCCTCCTTCTCTCCCCCGCCTCCCGGCTTCCCCGCCCCCTCCCCTTCCCTTTGCCCCCTCCCCTCTCCTCCTTCTCGTCCTCCTCCTCCTCCTTCTCGTCCTCCTCCTCCTCTCAGGCTGTGGTTTTTCTGTATATGTTTCTGGAGTCCTGAGCCTGAGCTAAACAAAAGCAGGAGGCTGACGGGGCTGCTGGAGTTTGCAGAGACACGGAGGAGGAGAGAGCCTGTGCTTTGCCTGCCGCCGCGGCTGGGGGAGATCTGGCTTTTGCAACAGCCCACCCCCTTTGAGATCACTCTGGCCCGGAGTGGGGGTGGGGGGCAGCGGGGGGTGGGGGGGAAAGTTTGCATTGCAATCCCCCTGCCTTCCTCTCCTTTCTCCCGATCAATGCATATTTGCAAAAGGATTAAGCCACAGATTTAAGCGCCGGGAGCCCATTTCTGCCTTGCAAAGGAGACCGGACTGAAAAACCAAAAGCCAGCTCTGATTTCTTTTCGCCAAGTGGGAAGGTGGTTTATTTTTCTTGCTTTTTGGAGTCAACACCCTTCCCCACCAGCCCTTATCCCCACCCTCACCCCGCAACCCCTTTACGCCCCCGCCCCCTCCCCTCTCCCCATCCTCCCACCATCCTCTAAAGAGGCAAAGGGATTTTTTTTTTCTTTTGGTCTTCTTTTTTTCCCCCTTCCCTGTTTATCCTGAAAAGGATTTGAAGACAAGCTTGAAGGATAAAAAGCCTTGGTGCTTCCCAGGAGCCGAGCCGAGGAGCAGAAGAGGAAGAGCCGGGGGCTGCCGTAGCCTTCGGAGATGGACGAGCAGCCCAGGCTGATGCATTCCCATGCTGGGGTCGGGATGGCTGGACACCCCGGCCTGTCCCAGCACTTGCAGGATGGGGCCGGAGGGACCGAGGGGGAGGGCGGGAGGAAGCAGGACATTGGAGACATTTTACAGCAAATTATGACCATCACAGACCAGAGTTTGGATGAGGCGCAGGCCAGGTGAGATGGAGGCTTTTCTTTTCCTTTCTTGGGGTTTTTTGTTTTTCTCCCTCTCGCTGGGGGAAACAATGGGAACCGAATCACCACAGCGCTTTCTTTTTAAATGTTATTTCTTTTCCCATTTTGACAAGCAACTACATGGCGGAGGAGTAAAATTTGAAGGAGTGTTGTTATCGAAAGTGTAATCGCCCATGCCGTGCTGTGGCTGTGTATATATATTGTGTGTGTGTGTGAATATAGAGGTATTCTAATGTATCCACACAAACACAGGCATGCCGAAAATACTGCCAACTGATCCAAAAGCGGCCCTTGGCACTTTTTACTGCTTTAAAAAAGTATAAGAGAGAGCAGAATTGTCAAGTTTTGAACAGCATTCCATGCCTTCTTGTACAGGGACTCCGTAACATTACAAAATAAAATGTCCCGAGAACACTTTATTTGCAAATTTAGTTGACTCCTCACCTAAGTTTGATTTTCTTTTTTGACTTACCCGTCCAAAATTAATATTTATCTTTTCCCCTTCCTTTCCTCCCTCAAGTACAACATAACAACAACAAAAAAAGCAGGGTATTTCTTTGTCAGTAGTTATCAGCTATCCAGAAAATATTTTGCATTCACTTAATTCTGTTTTTTTAAAAAAGTTAATAGAAGGAAAAGGTAATTTTGCTTTTAAGCATATTTGTTAGTTTTAAGAGACTCAGATTTTTAGTTTAACTTTATTGTCTCCTAATTCGAATCAGTTTACAAACCTTCCGTGACACAGACAGCTATGTATGGTCCTTTAAAAAGGGGTGAGGGGACAAAAATCAAGCATGCTCTTTTCCCCCATACTTCTTTCAAGACCACTTAGAAATGAAAGCATGCAAGAATTTTATGTATTTCAATACTGTAGGACATGAAGATTTTCATTAAGGAAACACGATAAACTGTGTAGCTTCTCAACTGAATCCACTGCCAGGTATATAGTTCTCTACTCTGGGATTTTACAGCAAATTCTCTTTGAAAATAAAACATAGACTAAGTGACAACCTCCTAACAGCTTGCCCAAGGCTGAACTCGAAAGGAAGAATTTAAAAAATCTAATGACCACATATGTCTGTACAATTACCCAGCTTTGTTAAGTCTCTGAAGTAGCTTTTAAAATTTATTTTTTTGCTTTGAAAATTTTCTAAACTTACACGCACAATTCCTATACCTCAAATGACTTAGTTATATGGAGAAGACATCATGATGTGTATTTTTGTCTAAGGGACATAAGAATTTGAGTTGAGAAAATGAGAGGAAGCAGCTAAAAGCATGGATGTTATGAATTACACTCTTAATTTAAACTGCAAGCACATGCAACATGTAAACTCAAAAGTACTAAGGTTTATGGGTGCTTGAAAACTTGGAAATGTTCAAATATTTGAACTATTCTAATTTTTTTAAATAGGGGAAAAATTTAAAAAATTAATTGGTGCTCTTTTCACATTTTATTATCTGAAGAAAAACTAATAGGTATGATAAGGGGAAGATTTTCCAATGGCAATTCTCTTGAATTGGAACAGATTTCTCCATTACATTGTTCTAGAAAAATACACTTGGACATACCAAGAAACTGGTTTAATAACAAGTTTGTGAAGTGGAAGGGCCAGTAAGAATAGATACGCACTACTTTTTTGATGCTTAGTACCCTCTCTTTTTTTGTGAAACTGAGGGCAAACCTGGCTTCATGAGTTCCCCCTTTTAGTGGCCTAGATGCTGAGAGAGATTAGATACAATTTTGGGTTGGGGAAATTTTCAGTGCTCCTTCTATAGCTTTATTTGTGTGCCATGGAAATGCAATATTTTTATAAAGCTGTGGGAGAATTTTTGTTTGCATTTGGGCCTATGTATAAGAATACAATTAATGAAAAGTATTTTAAAAGACCTAGGAAAGCTCTTTAATACATTAAAGTCTTTTCTATCTGTTTTGTTTTTTTTTTTTCCCACCCCACATGAGAACTGACTAAATCAACCCTAAGCTTTCTTTTTGGTTAAACAATGTAACTCTGCTTAGCAGATACTGTGTCCTTTTTTCCTTTTCCCGGGCACACCTTCATAATGCATAGTTATTATTTATAAAGTAAACCATTAGTATTTTAGATACAGTAATGCATGTGTTCATTTTAATAGTCCTGAATTTTGAGTTTATTACTCCCGTGCTGTATAGTATATAGATCATGTTTCTGATTTCTGTTCTTCATGAGGATGTGTCTGTTTTTTAACTTTCAAAGGGATTTAAAAGAATTGCATATGTTTTGAGTGCCAGAACTTTCCATGTATCTTTACACATTAATTTTAGTTAAACAGAATTCCCTTAACTAATAGCTGATATGATCTGTATTTTGTTTCCAAAACAGTATCATTCTGCTAAATGATTCCATAATAAAATAGAAGGAAAGGTATTGTTTTGTTTCTCAAGTGCATTCTGAATACAAACACACACACACACACACACACACACACACACACACACAAGAACCAGGTAAATCACTAATCTAAAAGGCAAAATTGTATTTATTTTTTCCCCAATGGGTGCAAGGTCCTAATTGTAAATAATTGAATTTCAACACCTGCAAATAAGCAGCGTGTGCACAAGAGGCATAATGTGAACACAGAGAAATGAATTTATTCCCCATATGGGTATGTTTGCCCCCTGGCAATGCATTTCCATACTCTTTAACTTGGGGACTGAAATTTTATAAATTGACAGTTCTGCTCAGAAGACCTTTCAAGCATCTTGTGTTTATGAGAATACAGGGGCATCTGCAGAATGAATTCAAACACATGGATGAATTAAATTTGAAAACACACAAACCGAGAGACAGACAGTTCCTAGGCTGTGGTCGTTACATAGATTATCCAAAACTTGCCTTTGCCTTTATGCTATATCCATTGTCCTGGGTAGAATTATTGGTTTAAGAATTCCACTTTGATTAAACTACTTTACAAAAAAAAAAACCACAACTCTCCCTCAATGGGCATAATTTAGGTTAGTTCTGTTCTGTAGTTGAGTCCCTACTCTCTCCCTGCTAATTAACATTATTTCTTTTTCTGTGGCGGGACTCTGTATATTAAGTCATAAAAACAATCGAAACATGCCACAGAGTTATGCTTGGTATATAATTTTGGCTAAACGTTCAGATTTTTTCCCTCTGTGAATTATCAGCAGTTTGATCTTGAGAGTCCACCTAAGCTATCATGTTGTTGTTTCTTTCTTGCAGAAAACATGCTTTAAACTGCCACAGAATGAAGCCTGCCTTGTTTAATGTGTTGTGTGAAATCAAAGAAAAAACAGGTAGGAATGAGATCCCAACATTTTAGCATTTTTTTTGGCCAATTGAATCACTTTACCAGCAATCATGAACCTGTTATTTAAATATTAAAATTTCAACATGAAAATACTATCAAAATTGACCGCATATTCCAATAGGAAGTCCTAGTCCTGCTTTCTTTTAAAGAAAGTGTCAAGTTTCTTTGACAGTTATTATCAAGCATTACTGGTTTATTTTCCTTAACTCTATTCCTAGCCTTTTTGAAATTCAGGCTAAACTCTATGTTCTGAAGGGAAATTTATAGAATGGTGTGTCTTTGGAGGAAAAATATGAAAGTAAAAGTTCATTTCCTGAAGGAATATATTTTGGCCCATATTTAAAACCCTAATTTTTTTGGAATTAGGCAAGGGTGGGGGTCCTAAACTGTTTAAAGTTTCCTTTCCTTTTTTCTTGTATTTACAAAAAAGCAGCAGACTAAAGGTTCTGTAAAGAGAGTGTTGTCAAATACCTTTGTGGAAAGCGCTATACAACACTAGGTTATCGGTATTTGAGTGGCCTGTGATTTTATAGCAGGGAGAATCGTTGGGTTTAGGAGAGTATAATGCCATTAGATCACTCACTGTGTTGTTTTTCTACTTTCTAGACCTCATATCATGGACTAACACACTTATAACACATCCCAGGAGGGCATTTAAATTTTAAAGCAACAATTAAAAAATAGCAGTCATCAATCAGAGGTGTTCTTAAACAACAGATGCTCTGGGAAGGACATTTAGCGAGATCCTCTTGTTTGTTTATTTTAATCCTTAATTTTCCAAAGTGGGTAAATCTCTCCCTTGTAAGAAGAAAGATTTGAGAAGGCAATCTGAAACCAGGGCATAAAGATGAGGGACAGGGGGTGGTTATATAAAGCAGGAGCTTCTGCTGGGCTCTGACTTACTCGCTCGCTTTAGAGTAGTGCAAAGTACCTGACACCCTCTTTATTTATTTATTTTTTACAACAAGGAGTGTAACAGTCAATAATTCATATCTAAACCATATAAGCAAGGGCATGACATGAATGAAAGTGACAATAAATATGATTGCATGCCCAGTTGATATACATTGATAGTTACACATAAAAAAGCAGGGGGTGGGGGGAGAGAGGGCACGCAGGGTGGCTTTCTTTTTGAGAGCTCTCTGTTTCTCTTTTCAAAAATAAATAGTTTCAAGATGTGACTGTTGATTGAATATGTAATTACTTGGGTCTTGAAATGCATATAAAATTAGTAAGCAGCTCCTTTGTTGAATGTTATTTGTGTTGTGCATTACATCCTAGACAAAGCACCTGAGAAGTGATGTTCAGACCTTTAAGTCTTCCAGGTTGCCTTGCCAAAGCTCAACCTTATTGCAGAGCTGTTAATTGCGTTATTTTAGCTGTGAGACATCCTTTAAGAGATTTATGGATTGTGTGTACAAATATCAAAAGAATTTTTTTTTCAGTTTGTCACACTTTTTAGGGTTTTTATTTTCTGTTAGCCCAGAGAAGGAAACCTAGGTGTATATGTTATTTTCTCTTCTCTCTTTTTTTTTCCTTCTTTGATCTCTGATGCTTATTTACTTTGAATATTTGGTTTCTTGAAATTTGTTTCTAATCGAGTATGAGTTCCTGCTGACTTGGTTCATAAAAGGTAGACTCAAAATATAAAAGCATATGTGATAATCCGGACTAAAGAAAGTCTATTTTTAAAGACACTATCAGATTTTTATTGAAAGGAAGCCTGTGAGTGCACTTAAATGTACATTGTGGTCAAAGTGCTTAATTCTAGTCCCCTAATTAAAACCTACTGAGGCAGTAGATCAAAGTGGGGGGGTGAATAGAGATCCGGTTCAGGTGTGGGTTAGAGTTTGTTCCTTATTCATATTGGCTAAAGTACGATGATAGGAAGCAGTCATATTGGTCAAAATAACGTTCTAAAGGTGTAATTTATGGTTAGATTTCATATTTTGTTTTTTGAATTTTATGTCAACACATTCAATGTTTAGAGATTTTTGGAGTTTTTAAATATCTAAATTAAGTTTTTCTTTGTTGTCTCAAATAATATATCTTAAAAAATAGTTTATCAAATAATGTAAATTGAAAGTGGTAAGAATCATTGCCCCCTTTGTTGGGAGGAAACACACACACACACACACACACACACACACACACACACATACATGCTCCTGCACACATGCAGTTTGGATTGAGAGGGTACCTTTGGGTGAAAGTAGAAAAGAAAAAAAAAGGTCTACCTTTCTCTTAATCTTCAACTTGTGAGTTGGAAGGATTGAGGGGAAGGAAGAAACCTCTCCTGGAATGTTTAGTGTTGTGTTAAAGGTAGGAGTCAACCGCCGTGTGTTGAAAAGAACCCTTTGATTCTAAAGCGCGATTACTTCCTTACTCAGGATCTGCAGAACCCTCATTCTCTGTGCCAGCCTATCTTCCATGCAGTTGATGTGTCCTGTGTCGCAGATACAAAGTGTCTGTAAAGTTGCAGGAGGTTCCCCCCCCCCTCCATTGATACAGAGCTAGTGAAAAGATCACTTGAATCATCAGTTCACATACATTCCTTAATTGTTTGGGGACTTTTCCTATTGTTACTTTCAAGCCTCCTTGCATTTAATGAGTGTTTTTGAGCTTCCATCTCAAGTATTGTAGAGGTTCCTTGATTTAGGCTGGGCTTTGTTTGTTTGTATTCTGACATGGAAGTTCACACATTTGGCTCACCTAGGGGGAACTCTTGAGAGGAGCCTGGTAATTGCATTCATTTGTTGCTTTTTTTGCTTTTGCTAATGATTTTATAGTTGGAAGACTTAGAAGTAAGTAAATAGGAAAACTAGCTAAGAATGTGTTATCAACCTTTTGGAACTTTAAAAATACACACACACACACACACACACACACACATACACACACAACACCCAAAGTAGGCAGCACCATCTAAATTACAGTTGATTGATGGGTATTTAAGTCAGAAATTACTGTGGGGATATTAAAAAAAAAAAACCCATGTGTCTTCTTGCTTCAATGTGTGGGTAAGTTTTTTGCTTTTATATATAAATGCTAAGGAAAAAGAATGCCAGGAAAATGCTTGGGTGACAAATCTCAAACAGCAGCAAGAAAAACCCTGTTAAGACCTATAGTAACGTATTTCAGATATGGCTTTTATCTGTTTGCTCATTCTGGGAATACAGAGACTTAATTAGAGTTTTGGACCATTTAATATCACATTTTCTTTTGGATTTTAAGAATTATTGTTTGTCTTCGGACATATTAGCAGTAGACTGAGTTTTACATACCGTGTATATGTGGTAGTAATGGGGTTGGTGGGATGGAGGAGAAGAAAATTCAGGCATATTACATTTCTTTAAAAAAACTTGAATATATTTTTAAACATTTCTTTTTTTTAACTTTTATGTCAAAATCATGCAAGTTTAAAAATCAGGAAAACACAAAAAATATTGGGTGCCATTTACTAAGGAGAATATTTATAGATAGCAATGAATAGCTGCAATTGTTGTGAATAGTCTTTAATTTTAGAACATAATAGCTATATATGGCACTTTTCAGCCAGTTTTCCTCTGTGCATTGTCTGCACTGAAGTTAACTGAAATCAAATCATTGGAGGAGGTAAAAAAAAATTATTTTTTGCTTCCTTAATACCCTTTTGTTCTCTCGTTTTCCTTTGCTCTCTGTGTTCAATTAACACCCCCATCACAGAACTGTAGTGTGTGTTTTTTTTAAGTCTACTACTGTATTTCACTTTTGACACCCTCCCTTATTATTCTCGCCTGCCACTTCTTTTTAATATAGCAATTACATTACAGGACTTCTACTCCTCTCCTCTCTGCTTTAAAGCATTAGAAAATAATTTGTGTGTCTGTGTATATGTGTGCGTCTTCGCATGTACAGGTTGGGGGGCTTTATGGAAGGAAGCTGTAAGATTGTAGGGAAATAATCCTGATGGTACGAGGCCTTGAACAGAACAAGAGTGAAATAACTTCAGACAATTTAGAGCAGCCTCTGATCAAATTCTTTCAGGGGTTGCAGTGGCAGGAATGATTTTCGTAGAAGCCCATCCATAGCTGGCAAATGTAAAAACTTTTTCTTGCTGATGCGCAAATTCAAGAATTTGGTCCTTTTTGTTTTGTTTTGTTTCTGTTTTATTTCCTTTTTTTTTTTTTTTTACGGTGAAAGGGGTTGAGGAGAGAAAAGGGGGGCAAATGAAGGGAAACTACAAGTCATTTGTCCCTGATACTACCTTTCAGGCGCCCCAGTGTGCTAAGGCAGAAGTAACGTGGTTAGATTCTATATTATTTACTATGATCTGGGTATAAGCTATAGACTTACGATAACATGACTCTAAGAGACAAAATATAAGCTGAACTGTGACAAGAAATGTCCCTCCTCTCCTGTCACTTTTGTGTACTCCATTTTTAGTCTTGAATTAGAAAAATTCTGACTTTTCAGAAGTGGAAAGGAGGGTGCAAAGAACAGTGTGGTCATAGCTACTAGAGTGAGATTTTTGGAAATTTGGTGTCGTTTGTTCCAACAATGGGGGTCTCTGTGAGGATTGGAAACGGGGGAGATTTAGGTGAAACTGAGAAATCTGGAAGTGGATTTGTGAGAGGGGAAATGCGGGGAGAAACTTGCGACCTAGGAGCTGTGGGGCGTTGAGCTGGGAGGAGCGAGGGTGCCGGTTCCAAGCTGGGCAGCAGGCTGCGCTCTGGGCTGAGAGGGGGGCATTACTTGCTTGTGTATTGAGCTCGCTGCTGGTGCCAGGCCTTTTCTCATGCTTTTGCTCCTGTGTTCTGTTGACATCATGAACTTTTTATTGTTGTTGTTGGCAAAATGACAAAAATATCCCCAATCAAGCAAACAAACCAAAACCTAGATATTGAACATATTTAAATAGGAAGACATTTTCATGTTTAATTTAAAATATAACCCTGGCTTCTTTTGAGACATAGTTTACATGCATGCCTTAGGAAAGCTTATCCT